CCAAGTAATCATAGTGTATTCCAAAATGCRACTTTATAGAGGAAGCTTTTTATAACATTATCTGTGGAGATAGACCACGGCCTCTTGACTAATATAAAGACCAGGCACTTACCTATCAACTTGCCTCAAAGCTTCACATAAGGCCTAAGTCTGCAAGGTATGAATGCTCAGTTCTTCCTAAGGGATCTTTCGTGGCATTTAGTAGACTTACATACAGCTGCTAAATGCAGCTCATTAAATTCCTTTCAAACATGTCATTCACCGAACATTTCCTCACTGGGAAAATTGTCAGGTTATGGGTACATGTTGTATCGACATGGATGCATTACATGCATACATAAATACATGGTACATATTATTGTTTTCTCTGGGTAACAGTTTTAAGGACAGCAAAATGGACTTTCAGTGTCATTCAAATTGCCATGTTTGTGCCAGAATAAGCAGCAAGGCCGTGAACATAATGCTGCTAGATTTGTGAAAACGCTGTGCTGGAAGACGTTCAGGTCTGACTCTAGGCATTTCGTAGAAAGGTTTGACCTGAATTGCACCTGATGAGATACTGGAGGATGTTTGTAGATCACACTGCTCCCTCTCCGGGTATTTAACCTCTCAGAACCACTTTGGTGCCCTGGCAGAGATAAGCATAATCTGCGATGACGCCTGCACCGTAAGATACTGCTTCTTCTGGAGCTGTAATCAACATACCTGCACATAGATTATCTTCAGCTGCTTTAATATGCAGCTACACTGCGTTTATGACTGAAGTTGTACTCAGAACGGTAAAACTAAACTGAACTGTCACCCTCAGGAAAGCTTTATGAGCACAATTCCCCAAAAGTAGTTTATGTAACTGGATCTTAAATACACCAACTTTCTAAAAACATACCACTGTGCTGTGATCCTTAACTAACTCGTGCTTTTCTTTTTAGAGGAATACTTAGAAATAATGAAATACAAAGTATTTGAAAACATTGTTCTGGAGCTTCTCTTCAATCTGCCATCAATTTTATTTGAGAATATAATCAAAACATTGAAAATTGCTYTTAATCTTCAGGAGATCTAAGTTGCTATGGTATTTGTTCACTGAGCAAAGGTAGACCTTTGTTTTTCAGTGTCATGAGTATCATTAACACATTTGATGGGTTTGATGGGATTTGATTCTGTCTACACCTATTTGATAGCACCTAGTAACTGTTTTGTCCTCCCCTTTTCTGTGATACATATTAGCAGGCATGAAAGCGTGCAGGTGCGTCCTTACCACAAGCTGTTTCCTAGAAAAAAAATAAATTTGACTGTTTATTACTTCTCTGTAGGGAAGCAGGAAAAAAAAAAAAAAAAAAGAAAGAAAAAATCCAGTACTTTTGGCATATACTGCTGTCATTTGTGATACAAAATAAAGTATGTCATACTAACTTTTGTAGTAAGAGGTATTCAGGCTTAGATATGTTATTGGGTCATCAAGTTCATATTCTTCAACCTAACCAGATCACAAGTTGTTCCAAGCAGCTCTCAGAGCATTGAAATATATTTTTGGTCCAGGAGTTCATTTTCCTTCAAATTACTTGTTCATATTGCATTTCATGCTTTGTGGAGTGAGTCCAGGATCAATTGCCTTCTTATGCACCATCACAAAATGATGCATTACAGATCAGAAGTCTCACACATGCTTGAGAAGGRCATGATCCTTTTGTAAACATTACTGAATTTGTCTGCTTCCAAAAGAAACATGTAAGTTTGGTGTGTTCATTGTTCATGTCTTAAGTCCTTGAGACCATTATCCCTGTTCCACAATTGTTGACATTGTTAGACAGAGGATTTTCAGGCAATACCAAATGTGAATTATGCTGCACTGTGCAGACCAAACCTTCACAACTGGTCTTTTATACTAGGTGGRCATTATTCAAAGATGCTGGTCATTTTTTTTTTTGTATGTTTTGACATAGAGCCATAAGGTCAGTCCTGTGGCATTCGTTGGTTCATGCTGTGTTGGCTCTGCAACAGTTTAAACTTGCTTAGCAACCACTTCGTGCTGCTGGAGCAGAAGAGAATCTCTACCTGTCTCTGAATTATTCAGCTATTTTTAAGTAAAAACTGCTATATCAGCTGCAACATAATCAGTGTGTGAGAATCTCCTGCCACTCTTACCCTTTTTTCTTTCATTCAAACAATTTCTTT